TTTATTATTAGACCTGCAATACTTTTCACAATGAACATCAGCGGGGAGTAAACTGGGAGTTTAAGAATATTTGGAAAACAATTTTAGAATAACATTCAGTGCTGTGGTTTAAAAGAAAAAAAAACTGTTAAAACTCATAACTTAGCAGCATTCAGTGTTTGAAAAAAACAACTTCTAGGAGCTATGGGATACAAGTTAAGAATGTTGAAACAGGAAGATGTTATGCTTAGTTACCACTTGGGCAAGGCGGCATGCTATGTAATACTTGCAAGATTTCACTGTAATGTTTTACAATATATAGCAGCGCAGTGCTGATTCCATTGATATTGTTGAGCAATTCATGCTGATTTTATTTCAGCCCACATCTTAATAGTTTTGAATATTGTAGATCACAATTTTCAGCTCAGTTGGTCTGAACATGCAGAGCTTTAAAATTGCTATGCTCTAAACTGTATATTAACTACAATTTATAAATCTGCATGTCAGAGAACTGTGTGCCACTACTACTAGACAGTGACACAAGGCAATTCAGTGTGAATCACAGAAATGTAGGACTGGAAGGGACATCAACAGGTCATCTAGTCAAACCCCTGCACTGAGGCAGGACTGAGTAATAACAACTAGACCATCCTTGACAGGTGTTTGTCTAACCTTTTAAAAAACTCCAATGACTGCTATTCCATAACCTCTCTAGGTAATTTGTCCATTGCTTAACTACCTTTACAGTTAGGAAGTTTTTCCTAATGTCTAACCTAAATCTCCCTTGCTACAATTTAAGCCCATTGCTTCTTTTTCCTGCATGTCCTGAGTGGGATGGGGATGGGTCCAGGCAGTGGGATTGCGGGGAGGGAGATCGAGGGAATCGGTGGGTGTGTGGGGATGGATGGGGGAATCAGGGTGGAGGAACTGAGGGGAACAGGACTGGGACCGGGGGAGTCGGGGGGGCTAAGGGGGATGGGACAGGACTGGGATGGGGGGAGTAGGGTAGGGGCTGAGGGGAGCATGAATGGGACAGGGTAGAGAGAACTGTGTAGAGTGGGGTGGGGCGGGGGAGACAATGGGGCTGGGCTGGGGAGGGTTGGGGGGTTGGTGAGAGGGACAGGGTCTGGAGGGGATGAGACAGAGGGGGGCAGGACTGGAATGAGGGGAAGTTGAAGTGGTGGGACAGCAGGGGGAGTGATGGGGGTAGGATGACGGGGGCGGCTGAAGAAGAGATTTGGGGTAGGGCAAGGCTGAGGGCAGTGGGTTGGGGGGAGCAGGGAGACTGTGGGGGAGGCTGTTGGAACGGGGGCAGGGACTGAGGGCAGTGGGTTTAGGGTGTGAGGTAGAGGGGGGACTGCGGGGGAGGCTGAGGGAAAAGGGTCAGGGTGGGGGCTGAGGGCAGTGGGTCAGGTCTACACTGGCACCTCTCAGCATTGCTGTGCCGGGTGGCAGACCTGCACTAGCGCTACCCTAGCGATGGAAGAGTCCTCAGTGGAAATGCAGACTTCATGACACAGACCCTCCTCATCACTTAAACCTGGCGCTGCTCTGGTTAGTCGCTAGGCTCTTGTCACTTTCAAACCCATGCAGGTTATCTGGCTCTTTTTCAGTTCTCAGGTTAAGAAAAGCCTCTGCATTTTGTGAGGGCTTCAGCATTCACTTTCCTACTTGACAAACTGTCTGCCTGACACATTGCTCCCAGGGCATTCATCTTTATTCATTATCAGCAGGTCCATCAGATCAGGGCCGGCTCTGGCTTTTTGGCCGCCCCAAGCAAAAAACAAAAAACAAACAAAAAAACCCTGCAGTGTGGCCAGAGCCAGGGTGCAGGGGGACTCCCTGCGCTGCAGATGTGCCCCGGCTAGCGGGGGAAGGGAGCGGGGGGGAGAGAGAGAAGAGGGGCAGCCAGGGGTTCAGCGGGGCGCTGCCATGTGGCCCCTCCCGCCGCGCCGCCTGCTGGGAGGGCTCCGCGCCGCTCCAGTCGGCTGGGAGGGAAGGACGCGGACTGCCCTGCCGGGCTTGCTGCAGGGCATTCCCATCCTCCGCACCGTCGCCCCCTACAGGACGGCCAGAGCGGAACAAAACAAAACAAAAAGCGGCCGTGCCGCCCTAGGATTGGGCGAAATGCCGCCTCCTACAAGCTGCCGCCCCAAGCACCAACTTGCTTGGCTGGTGCCTGGAGCCGGCCCTGCATCAGGGGGACACAGGGGGAAGCAACACAATGGTGTCATGGATTTTTAATTTTTCAAACCACTTTGGCCTCAACAGGGATGACCAGCAAATCTGGACACAGCAGATGGGTGTCAGAATGT